TAGGATGACCTCAGCAACCTCGTTTCCCACACTTAAACAGGGCATCTCCTGCTGTTGGAAAAAACTCGCGAAGAACGAATCTCACCCTTTCCCCCACTCCCTGCATTTTCTCCTCAGATACGATCCCCTTTCCCCATCCCTATTCTACCTGCTATCCTCTTATCCTCCTGAAGTTCCTCCAATTTCATAAAAAAAATTTCCGTTTACTCGAAAATTCCTCCAGTATTTCAGCCAAAAGTTACTGCCGAGCGCACCCTACGTTTAGAGCACGCGGAACAGGGAAAACCGAGGAAAGTGAACAACCGAAAATATTTGCCTTGTAGGGAAGTAAGGCCCCCTCCTTTCCGCGATATACGACCCCTACCTCGCTGTTAACCTTTTCATACGATCTGGTCCGCTTCCAAACCACAGGACAAAACCATCTTGTACGAGCAAGCTATTTCGAGCGGAACCTGTCTTTGAGCGGTACCCACCTGACATATCAAAAAAATCTGACGGGCAACTGCAAATTCCAATAGGAACTGGGCGCTGGATAGTCTAGTCTTGGTACTGCAGGCCAGACTATCTAGTGCAAGCGCCAGCGCCAGTTGAAACAGAGGGAAGTCACTGAGGGAATTTGCGTCCCTGACCTTTCTTAAAGTACCTACTTTGCCAGATTTTCTTCTACTATCGTTTAAAGTAGTGTTCCCCGGAATCCCACCAAAAGGATACGCTCAGCAACCCTATAGGTATAAACAGACACCCTTTTCAGCTAAAAACTCCTTAGTTCGTTCACACTGTCACCTCTCCTCAAAGTCACGGTCTGGTATAGAAGTAGAAAATATGATGTCGGGGAGGGGGGGGGGCAGTGTGGTCCGCGACGAACAACCTTGTACCGGTTTCGCGGCAAAAAAAATTGTAAGGGAGGGGCGCTATAGCGCAATATAGGTTCAGTGACGCCTCCTTTTTCCAGTGACTCCGCCTCCAGACTCCGCCTTCAAGGCCCGCCTTTCAGTGAAAAACGAAGCTGCAGGACGAAAAAGCATGAAAATCGTCACTTGTACGGTCGTAGAGTTCTTATCGGGGAGTCAGCTGTGCGGATGGGGGCGCATTGTTGAAGATGGAGTTAATTGGGCACTTACAACCTGGGATCGAAATGGGAGTTCTATCTGGGGCAGTCGGCATGTTTTTTTTCTCCTTTTTTCTTCACTATCGACTTACTTTGCACCTTGTCGTCAATGAGGAAACCCCCAATCCACTGTGATGGCAAGTGATCGAGTTCTTTAAACACTCTAATTTCTCTAAGTGATTAAATCTCTCTCTTGTTACACAGATCGCCCTTTCCCTTTCATTGTGGATCCACATCTACTGCACTGCCCCTACATAAAATCTTGCCTCAGGAAAGTGCCAAAGTTTCTTCAGCAAAGCTAAATCCAGTACTTCTACCGGAAACCTACCTTCATGTGAGGACCGCTTCACATTCAGCGATACTTCCAACGTCGCTCCCAAGTCTACTGCAACATCTGGTACTTCGAAGTATTCGTTCTGTTTCAGATAGATTGGAC